AAAGAAGTGAAACAAGTAAGGGGGAAAATTGAAACTGTAAGTAAGGATGAGGGGAGTCCAAGCAAAAGGAACCTTGTGGCACAGAAAGAGGCTACAAAGCAAATAGAAGGGAGGAAGCAGAATGAGAAGGGTAAAGAGGTAGACAATAAAAGAAGAGAGGTGGGAATTAGGCAGAAACAAGGTGAGGGTTGGAATCAACCACAAAAACATGCTAGTGTCCCTATTGTTATCAAGGATGTGATAACAGTAGCAAACACTTTCAAAGCATTAGAAGGAGTAGAAAAAGGAAGTGGAGGTCAAGAGAATGTGGGGAGCCAATCATCTCTCAATATGAGGGATGGTTAATATCCTAAGCTGGAATGTGAGGGGCCTTAATGGCCCTATAAAACAGAGGGAAGTAAAGGCCCTCTGTAATAAGCTGAAGGTGGGGCTAGTAGGAATGATAGAAACTAGAATAAAGAATAATAAGGTTGAAGGAATAGTTAGTAAAATGTTTGGGGGTTGGGAGCATTTTTCTAATCACAATGCTCACTATAATGGGAGAATTCTTATAGTATGGAGACCTGAATACTACAAGATTAGGGTAGTATATGAAAGTGCACAGGCTGTGACTTGTGAAGTGTTTTATGTACCTATACAAAAGGAATTCATCACCACATTTGTATATGCACATAATTCAAGGGAGGAGAGAAGGGAGTTATGGGAGTATATAAATAGGGGGATTGGAAAGAAGCCATGGCTAGTATTGGGGGACTTCAATTCTATCTTACACATGGAAGACAGAATAGGGGGAAACAAAGTGACAATAAATGAGGTGAAGGAGTTTCAAGAATGTATAGATAAGGTTGGGTTAACAGAGTTTCCAAATAATGGGTGTAGACACACTTGGAATGATAAACATGATGGTGGGAGAATCTTCTCAAAGATAGATTAGGTTTTTGTAAATGAAGAATGGATGGAACATATGGTGGACTGTAGAGCAAAGATTCTGACAGAAGGAGTGAGTGATCATACTCCAATCCAGATCACAGAAATGGAGAAAAAGAATCATGTGGGGATGAATTTTAGATACTGTAATATGTGGAGTACACATCCAGAAATTTAGAGGCTTGGTGGAAAAGGTTTGGAGTATGATATGAAGGGGCACAAAATGTTTCAAGTAGTGAAGAAACTAAAGCTGTTGAAAAGGGAGCTGAAAGATTTGCACAGAAACAACTTCAGCAACATTATAGAGGAGGCAGCAGAAGATAGAAATAACCTGAGGAGATGCCAGGAAGCACTACAGCAGGATCCTTTGAATGCAGCATTACAAGAGGAAGAGAAGATAATGGGAGAGAAGTTCAGAATGTCAAATTATAAGGCAGAAATGATGATGCAGCAAAGAAGTAAAGCTAATTGGCTGAGAGCAGGTGATGATAATACTAAGTACTTTTTCTCAATTATGAAGCAAAGGAAGCTAGCACAAATCATCACACAGATAGAAGATCAGAACAGTCAGGTACAACATGAACCTGAGAGGATAGCTGAGGTTTTTGTTGAATATTATAAGGAACTGCTGGGAAGGAAAGGTGAGAGGATGGGTAGTGCAGAACAGTGGTTTTTGAAGAATGGGTATAGAATAGATACAAAGCAACAGGGTGACTTGTTGGAGCCATATACTAGCAAGGATGTTAAGGAAGCTATATGGGGCATCAATGTGAATAAAAGTCCTGGGCCGGATGGGTATGGAAGTGGTTTTTCAGAGAAACTTGGGATATCATAGGGGAGGATGTTACAGAAGCAATTCTGACCTTTATGAAGAATGGGAAAATGTTGAAGCAGATCAATGCTACAATGTTAATACTGATTCCAAAAGTTACAAATCCTACTACTGCTGCTCAGTTTAGGCCGATATCATGCTGCAATGTCATATATAAAGGCATTTCAAAAATGATATGTAAAAGACTGAAGGGGGTGTTACCACAGATTGTAAACGAAACGCAAGCTGCATTTGTACAGGGAAGATCACTAGTACATAATGTCCTCATATGTCATGACTTAATGAGGCATTACAACAGGAAGATGACAACAACTAGATGCTTAATGAAGATAGACTTGAGGAAAGCATATGACATGGTTAGATGGGATTTTTGGCAAAAATGTTAGAAGGATATGGCTTCCCAAGCAAGTTCATAAATCTGGTGATGACATGTGTAACCACAACTACATTCTCAGTAGGGGTAAATGGTGCAGGGCATGGGTACTTTGAAGGACAAAGGGGTCTACGTCAAGGAGATCCAATGTCACCACTCCTATTTGTGATGGTGATGGAATACCTATCAAGAATACTGCATAGAATGAGCCAGCTACCAGATTTTAGTTTCCATCCAATGTGTAAGAAGCTGCAACTCACACATTTGACATTTGCAGATGACTTAATGATTTTTTGCAAAGCTAATAGGGAATCAGTGGGAAGGGTGATGGAAGCTTTGAAGGTTTTATCCAATGCAACTGGGATGATGGCAAATATGGATAAGTCAAATATATTCATAGCTGGGGTAGATGAGGAGGCTGAAGCTAGGCTGGTAGAGCAAACTGGGTTCACAAGAGGAAGATTTCCTATAAGATACCTAGGACTTCCTCTATCACCCAGAAAATGGAGCAAAATGGAATGAAATCAACTGATTATGAAGATCACAGAAAGAATTAGGAATGCTGCTGTAAGACATGTATCATATGCAGGGAAATTGCAAATTATAAACTCTGTTCTGTTCTCAGTGCATAACTTCTGGGGGACAATTTTTATATTACCTCAGAGTGTAGTAAATGAAGTTGATAGGAAGTGTAGGGATTTTCTATGGGGAAGTTCAGAACAAAAGAGGAAAATAACATTAGTTGCTTGGGAGAAAATATGTAAGCCAAAGGCACAAGGGGGCTGAACATAAAAGGGTGTAGGATTTTGAATAAGGCAGCTGTGGGAAAATTAATATGGCAAATAATGGAGAAGAAAGATACACTATGGGTGAAATGGATAAATGGAATATATATGAAAGATGGGGACTTTTGGAGTCATGAACCCCAGGTAAATAGCAGCTGGTACTGGAGAAGACTGAACAAGTTGAAACTGGGAATGGTTAATTGGTATAACACTGGAAAATATACTCTGATGAAGACTGAGAAATACTCTATAATGAAGGGGTATACTCAGTTAATAGGAGAGACACAGAGAATGGAACATGCTGACCTGATATGGAACAACATATGCTTGCCAAAACACAAATTCATCTTGTGGTTAGCTGTGCAAAACAAGCTGCTAACACAAGAAAGAATGATGAATATGGGTATCCAGGTTGGGGATTGTGGATGTAGTTTATGTGGGGAGATGAAATGGACAGTGTAGAACATCTATTTACCAAATGTGATTGGGCTGCACAAGTATGGAAAGCTCTAACAGACTGGAGTGGAATCAAATTCTAACAGAGGAGTATCCATCACACACTGAAGTGGATACAGAACAGGAAATGGCCAAAAACAAAGAAGCATATAGCAGCAACAATTTTT